TGAAATTACGTCTCACACAAGGTTTTCAAATTACTTTATAAGTTATTTAATGAAGAAATATGAAGGTGAGTACCTCACCTTCAGAATTATAATTATTTCACCCGCACCGGACAGAGACTGAGACGGTGCCGCTGCATGTCTTGCCAAACCTCTCACGGCAGCGTCATCAGCTTGAGATCGGCCTTTTTGATCGGTAGCCGATCAATCGGAGCACCCCTACTTGCAACTGTTACAAAAACAGATTGTAGATTTGAGTGTAAAGAATTGTGGGATTGTGTAATGGAGGCGTTTCCCAGACAGAACATTGCAGCTCAGGAAATGGTGATTTTTGGCATGTTTATTTTTACTCCCTTTCACCCTGGAGGAGAAAATGTTTTCCAAACAAGTGATAAATTGTTTGTCAGCTTAAACAATTTGTGTTTCTGCTGCTGAAATGCACAAAGCCTCACACATTCTGTCTGTATCAAAGCTAGAAATCAACAAATGAGAGCACAGTTCGTTCGTTTAGTGTGGTGTGTCGGCAGACTATCTAACCACAAGGGACATACATCTGTCTCTTTTACCAACATTCTGTCTCTGTCGTGCCACAGAAAAAGGCAGAAGAAGCCCATAAGATACTGGAAGGGTTGGGGCCTAAAGTGGAGCTGGTGAGTGCTGTGAAATTCTTTTCTGATGCAATAGATTGTGCGAGTTTGCGTTTCTAGCTAATCTGCAGCCATTTCCTCTGTCTCTCCACAGCCTCTGTACAACCAGCCCTCTGATACTAAAGTCTACCATGACAACATTAAGACGTGAGTATCTGCTCTCTGTAAGCTAACAGTAAATAATTCGAATAGTGGCTTTGACCGGACAAATCAGATGTGTGAGCAATGGACTGCACAGACTAGATGATTAGTTCAAATTTTGTTCTGTGTTGACTAGTTGTTGATCACGTGACTTCAGACTTGTTTTTTTTTTCTAGGGATGCACAAAATATCATTATTGGTTATTAGCCAATATTGGAAGTGTTTTTTCTGTTAAAGTAATCCTTTGCTGTCTCTAAAAACAGTACTAATGTAATTACACTTTTAATTTGTTTAGACAAAATAACAAATAGTACAGACTATTGACTTAACAGTATCAGCCATAATTTTAGTATCTTGTATACCCCCTTACAATGTAAAGCGCTTTGAGTGCCTAGAATAGCGCTATATAAATGTAATGAATTATTAATATTATTATCTACTATTTGTGGGTCCCATTTAGAGCCGTCACGATATCATATTTTCACTATATGATTGTTGTATGAAAAAAATCACATTGAAGGTATTATCATGATATCTATAGAAATGTTGATTAAATAAATCAATAATGCTTTAAGTAGTAGCCACACACTGCACTGTGGTCATCTTTTTTCTTTTTATGACAGGTGGCAACCAGCATTAAGGTGTAAGACTGCCACCTTCTATGTTTAATGCATCAACCAGACTGACGCTGCATTATCTCGGATATTAGTGTGTGTGATATTAACAAATATCAAAATGTAGCTTTTTTTAAAAAAATATAACGGTTATTGTCATCTTCGCTATGTATGATAAAAGTTAAACACAATGCAGACTCTGAAAATGGTCTGTGTTCCCTTGGAGCTTTCAATATAAGCCAGAATTTTTTTGGAGGGTGGTGCAAACTATAAGTGAGTGGGACGTGACTTTTTTTTCTTTTTTTTTTCTTTCTTCCAAAAAGCAGCATGAACCTTGAGGTGCTTGTATGTAAGCTTTCATTTCTCACCCACATCATCTTGGCTGTCAGACACTTTAAGCAGCCAACAGACAGTTGATGTGGCATGGTGTGTGCTGAGTCATTTAAATGAGGCAAACAATGACTCGCCAGCTAATCTTATGTGGGTTAAAGTGAAACTACTGTGTGTATGTAGACAGGTCAAGGTCGGTCAGTCTGTTTGTGTGTTGCGTCCGGTCGACTCATACAGCATAGGAGGGGGTGTGTATGTGAGGAGGAAAACCCTCAATTATCATGAATCAGAAGAAACAGTACTATCATAGACTACCATTCAAAAAATTTTGGCTCCATAAAATCTGCTTTTTAGTGAATTATTTTTAATTAAATGAATATTAAGCAAGGATGCATTAAATTGATCAAAAGTGGCTAAAGACATTTATAATCTTACAAAAGATTTCTATTAATAAAAGTTTTTTGAGCACCAAATCATCATATTAGAATGACTTCTGAAGGATCACACGACACTGAAGACTTAAGGAATGGCTACTGAAAACTCAGCTTTGCCATCACAGAAATAAATGACATTTTAAAATATATAAAAATAGACATGTTATTTTGGAAATTGTACTGTTTGACAAATTTAGTTTGTTTTTCTATATTTTTGAATTAAATAAATGCAGCCTTGGCAATAATGAGACTTCTTTCAGAAACTTTAAAACATTTTACTGACCCCAAACTTTTAAAAGGTAAATATAAAAAAGCAGCCTAAAATAAACTGCATTGTGCACAGCCCACATCACTGATCCACAAAATGTGTGAAGGCATTAAGTTTCTTTGAATGTTATAATATGATATCAAACCTGGAGTAAGAGTCATTAATATTCATTCATTTATCAGATGCTTTTATCCAAAGCAAGAAAAGCGAGTCATGCTAGGGGAGACAGTAACAGGAGAAGTGCCACATGAATTACACAGAGAGATGCAAAAGTCTGTGTCCCTACAGAATTGGTGATGAGATGAAAGTAAAAGGGTAGAGAAGGTTTTTAAAGGGTAAGAAAGTAAGCGGACAAACAACTTGTGAGTCAGGGGCTCATGGAATTGTATCTTGAGGCATTTTTTTGAAAGTAGAGACTAGAGAGAATTCAGCTCTTCTGATTGAGTTGGCAGGACTCAATGAGAGGCTGTATTCACCATGCTTGACTGTGGGCAGGTTATGTATCAGCAGAGAGATCTACAGTGTACAGTGTTTGCTCCTTTTATGAGAGGGAATGTAAACAGACTGGTTTTTATTGCTGCAGGAATCAGATGATGAGAAAGAAACTGATTCTGTTTTTCAAGAGGAGGAACCATGCACGCAAACAGAGGGTAAGTGTTTCTCTTTTCTGTGCTGTGTCAGTGAACGCATGAGTTTGAGTGCATGTTGAGTAAGTGCTCCTCCATCAGGTGAGGTGACTGAAGTTACAGAGAAACTAGAATATCTGTGGGAAAATCAAGAATGGAGTAAACACACAAACTTGCAGGTGCATTTTCACACCATTTTATGTTAATGACCTTGTAGACAGTGCTTTATAAATGGCCTTTGTTTACACATACAAACACATCTGCTTATGTGCACTTTATGATCACGTTTAGTTTGTGCTTACAGTAGAGAAGTTAAGTGAATGTGTGGGGCAAATATTTATTAGGCTGTATAGAGATGTTACTTTATGACTAATTAAAAAACAACAAATAAGGAGTTCCACATTGATCTCTATAGCCCTCATTTGCATATCAGTCCAAATTTTTGCTCGTGATTTATAATTTGTCATCTGTGTCTGGATTTACATTGCCAGAAGAGGTAAGAGGTTGTTTCATGTGTCTTTATAACAGTTGTGATACCTCTAAATCTGTGGCCTAACTACATGTGACACAGTGAAGAAAAAAATTTAAATACTCAAGACATTTTGTCATTAACACGGTTTCATGTTGTGTGGCATCATGCTCGGTAGAAATTCTGCTCCTCATAACTGTATATGAAATATGACATGTCTTCTGAATGGCTGTTATTATGTCCTGTTACAATTACATCTTTTTGTGGACTGAAAAAAAATGTCTTGTCACTAAAAATGTTGTCAACACTGTGTTGAGCTGTTTAGGGACCTCTTATAGATCGCCTATGGTTATAAAGATTGGCCAATTCCCTCTGTGTGTGTCTTTCTGCCTGTCCTCTTTCTTTTTCTTTTGTGGTTCAGGACTGTTGAGTGGTGATGTTTTCTTTAACTCCTGTGCTAAAAATAAACTGCTTAAGCTGCAAGGAAGCATAATGATTTTTTTTTTTTTTGGTTTGTTCTCAGGAAGGTATAGTTCAGTGCAATTGCTTGTTAGTAGACCCGGTCGGTCAGACCTGCTGGACCAAGGACAGTCAGAGAGGTGACATGGCCAAAAGCCAAGAGGAGGGTTAACTGTTCAGAGAGAGGAAAAACGAGCTGTTTTTTTGTTCTGTGTGTACCGTAGTACAGACACAAGCACACTTGTCTCTCTGTGCAGGTCTTGATTGAGGCTCCACTTGTTGAACCTCTTTGTTCTCGCTCATTCTCTGTTTCTGGCTCACTGTATCTTCGTCTGTCTCTTTTTGTCTGTCCTTTCAGGTTTATATGTCACACTGAGAAGTAACAAACAGATAAATTTGCAAATAGGAGTTCATTTACATAGTTCTTGTTGTCCCATCAGTAAAATTCATGCTTTGCTCAGTATTATTTAATGTTTTGTTTTTTGTTTCGTTTTTTGCTTTTGGATTGCATTACAAAATACACAAAATAATGTTCTTTTTAGCAGCATCATATGACCCCTTTAAGTGAATCTAATTTTTGTTTACTTGGATAATTACTCATAATCACTGTCAAATACTGATTTAGTTTTACTTTGCTAAAATGTTTTCTGTTGTTACCTTAGGAACAGAACATTTGCCAGCGGTATGATGAGCTGATGACGGAGTGGGAGAAAAAAGTTGAGCGAATGGAAAACAACCCACGCCGTAAAGCCAAGGAAAGCCGCACACGTGAATACTACGAGAGGCAGTTTCCTGAGATCCGCAAACAGCGCGAGCAACAGGAACGCTTCCAGAGGTCAGTCAGGGCCCCCAGTTTCTATGATGACCCAATGAACGCTCTGTCATACACACACATTTAACAGTATTGTGTTTCCCTGACACAGTTGTGATGTAACATCTTGTGTAAACACTTGAGGCGCTGTGTTCTGTCCTGACTCAGCAGTTGGCCAATCAGCATTGAGGATCCCGTGGGTGCTAGGGTCAGAGGTCAATCTGTGATAGTTCCTGGTACAGGTGTTACAGGGCTTCCCTGAATTACAGGGAACTCTTTCTGGAAAACCACTAAAGCAGAACAGAAGAACATCACACACCGCTGACCTTGATTAACCAGAAGCACAGACGCTGTCATTTTTGCTGATAAAACAAAATCTTATCAAGCAAAGTAGCCCGTTTATAGATATAGATATATTTATTGCACAAGACTTCGCCAGTGTTGCTTTCTGCCTTTGACTTCTTTACCTAATCATAAGATGAAAATTGAAGAACTGAACTGCTCCGACTGATTCAGTCAGTGAGTGAGTGAGAGACTAATTAAAAATAAATCAGCACAAGACTGATATTTGGTAATCTTCTCTGTATGCCTTAAATATACATCGATTCTTATTAAATCCACAAATGTTATTCAATTTTTCTTTCTTTTATTGTTTGATTAACATTAAGGACACAGCCAGCAGCAGGTATATTAAGCTGGTGTCACTTTAAGACCGACTGCATGGACTGAATATACTGATACACATCCGGTTTTCTGTAAATGTGACCGGTGTTGGCAAAATCAGTCGGAATGCACACGGGCTAATTTTTAGCTACAGACAAAAAAATGTCAGGTTTTCACAAAAATGAGTTCATTAAACCCTCGTCTAGCAATCCTAATGCTCCAAATAGTACCATATTGGCCCGAATATAAGACGACCCCCCTTTTTCCAGATGTACCTTTTGGAAAAAGGCTTTTTAAAAACCAAATCTTGTTTTTTCTCAGTAAAACACATTTTGTCTTCAATTATTTTCATATTGCATATTTTTCCTATTTAAATTTTTGTTTTGAAAGTATGGTAAAAACTGGTAAAATGTACCAACAATCACATTTAAAAAAGATACACTTTTTGATATACCATTAAAAAAAAAAAAAAAAAACAGGTAGCCCATCTGAATTAAGACATTTAGGCTATAGATCTAATACCAGCCTACCAAAATCTTATTAACAGTAGAAGTAAAATCTTACTGTAGTCTTCAAATCTGGGTACTGTCTTACGTTTTAAAATCACAAAGAGAGTTTGGTCCCATCAGGCTAACGTGACAGTCACGACTCATGCAGCTGTAAGGTTTTCTGCTTCTTTTGTTATTACTCGAGATCTTTACAACACGCATTACATTACGTATTTCATGGCACACTCGTTTTATGCGGTTTTGGCGCCACCTATTGTTGTGGGTGTATTATTGACATGTCAAAGTCTAGACCCTGAATATAAGACGACCGCGTTTTTTCAGATGTATTTCCAAGAAAAAAACATCGTCTTATATTCGGGTCAATACGGTAATTAAACATCTAAAATTATCTTTATTTGTACGCTTTCTGAGAGGAGTACCTTTTTCTCTGCTCACTTCTCGCGCTGCCGCTGACTGACATATGAATCGCGCACATAAAGGCGCTTCCACCAGCGCGTGATCCCGATACATGCACATACTGTATACACAGAATTACAGTATTTAAAGGTCCCATATTGTCAAAACTGAAATTTCCTGGCTTTTTTCATGATAACTGAGGTCTAGGTGCTTGGCCTGGCCGTGCATCACGTAGAACACAACAGGCCAATCAGAAGAGAGGCTCATGAATATTAATTAGACAGGCCAAAATCGACCTGTTCTCAGCAGAGCTCCTGAGAAAGGAGCTGTAAAAATATACTGAGATGGTTTTTGGTACTTATACCGCAAATATATATTCTTAAGGACATCAAAACCTAAAATAAAACTCCAGAAAGGTGTAAAATATGGGACCTTTAAGTAGGCTGTTCACGCAAACGTAATCTGTTATGTTTTAAGTGAACGTTTGGGGAACTGTTGGGGAAAAACATCTGATGTGTAACATTTATATTAGATCCGTGCAGTACAGTAGGTCTTAATATATAGGCCGTCTGTCTCATTAATGTAAATCGAACAGTAGAAAAGAGGGAATCACTCACTGCTCTTGATTAAACTGCTTTTGTAGTTTTAATAATCAATTTATTTGTAATGAACACACTAAAGGGATTGTTTTGATCATTTGTTTTTTCTTGCTTGAATGCTTTTGCTTAGATGTAAAATGAAAAAGTAATGCACTATTTGTTCTTTCTTATTTTTGTTCTACTGTTGTTGTTGTTGTTGTTGTTGTTTTTGCATCTGTTCTTATTTTTAATAACAAAGATAAAAATAAAAAATACCTATATTGTGATTATTAATATAGCAATTTAACTTTTCCCTAAATTAGTTTTTCTTGTTCACCTCATAAACGTCTGTAGTTCTGTTCATTCAGATCAAACCATCCAAATTGAGTGAGCACTGTTTGTCTGTCTTGATTGTTTAGACAAGCCAGAGTATGTAGCTATTGTTGCTGGAAGAGTCTCTAAACCAAAGAACTTCAGAGCTCCAGTGCTCATGAATAGACCCGGAGGAATCTTGCCAATAGCTGTAACCACTGCTTCAAAGGCTTTTTGTGGGAGAAGAAACGGGGTGGGACTCTGGTCTAGTAGCTTGCTTGAGAAAGCGCTGTTACATGGTACGGAGACAACAAAGTCAGGAACAGACAAACTCTCTAACCATGCTTCATCGTTCCTGTCATTAGGGTGGGCCAGAGGGGGACAGGCCTGTCTGCCACCATCGCAAGAAGTGAACACGAGATATCCGAGATCATTGACGGCCTCTCAGAGCAGGAGGTAAACCACTGGTTAATATCTCTGAAATCTGAACCATACAGAAAAACTTTACCCCAAGTACAGAAAATGTAATAGCCAGAGTTTTAGAGCTTCAGGAGGGTAGCAGTTAAACATGCACCCCGGCCTTCTCCCATACATCAGACTTTATTATTTCCTGTGAGCCATTGCAGTAATTTTATCATCACATAGCCAGATTATGCAGCATAAAATCTGATGTACTTTGCATCTTATTTTAATTAAGAATCACCCACTTAGACATGACTGAGGGAATGGAGTCCAACCACACTTTTTGCTTTGTTTAATGTCAGGCCTACCTGAAAGAGACACTTAAAACACTCATCCAAACAATACTGAAAAACTAGCAACAATGTATATACAGTGGGTACGGAAAGTATTCAGACCCCCTTAAATTTTTCACTCTTTGTTATATTGCAGCCATTTGCTAAAATCTTTTAAGTTAATTTTTTTTCCTCATTAATGTACACACAGCACCCCATATTGACAGAAAAACACAGAATTGTTGACATTTTTGCAGGGGATATACAATTTTTATAAATTGTACAGGAATGTGAGTGGGACAATGATTCAGTGATGTGATGTAAACTGTAGGTCACCGGGAATACAGCTCAGTTTCACTCTTCATCTCTAGCCTACATAATAATCTAATAACTGACAGGTGAAGTCAGGCAGGCCAGTGCAGAATAAACGCCTACTACGCCCACTTTCCTTTGTGTCACGGAAAAGCAGATAGATATAAAGAGTCAAGAAGAGCCACAAACTACTGGAGTGATAAATAAGGGACATTTTCTGTAAGAGCAGAAAGGAAGTTTATTTGTGATAAGCTATCATTAAAATGATGTAATACCCAGACTCACTGAGATGCTTTCTTCAGCCGAGAGCGCACAAGGGTGTGAACTTGCACTGAACTTTCTCCAATTCATATTTTTCCCTCTGTAAATCTGTCTAGATCCATCCATCTATCAGATTACCGCACTTATGCAAGACATGTCTCTGGACATCATTAGGACATGTTGATGTCATTACAAACACTCCAGACTCATTGTTTTTGATATGTCTAAGAGTCAACTCTATCCCAGGGCAAACATAGTTCTCAAAGATCCTGTTTCTATACAAACAACCTTCTGTACCGTATTTGTTCAAGTTTAAAGATGATCAAATATTGACACTGAATAGTATAGATTTAAAATAAAATGTAAAAAATCACCCTTTAGTCAATTTTTTTTCCTGCGACTTCATAAAACCATCACCATAATCTAAAGTGATTACATAATTTATCAAATTACAGATATACAATTGCAAGAATAAAGGCTTTAGGACTGTGGAGGTGGGATAATTCAGTTAACGTCAAAGTAACATCTTAAATTAAGCATAGCTAGTTGGTTTTATAGCTTTATATGAATACAAACAAATAGACTGACATTTTACAACGTGTATTAAATCCCTGTGGAACATCATTTTACACATATAATGTTCAGGAAAAATGTGAACAGTGCTTATTCTGTTACCTTTTTTTGCAGGTTATATTTACATTTGGCCCAGCGATGTAAGACCACACTGGAAAACATTGTGTTTGTTCAATTAAGCATTAAAAATCCATGAGCTTATCTCTTAAGTAAAGGGGAGAACAGCATCACCGCAATTAAATCCCTGGGGTAAATAGTAAAATATGTATTCCTCTTAAAAGTACCAGCTGACTCTGTTAGCAAACAATTGCTTTATGCACTTTTAAAAGGGTAATTTATAGCAAGGGGTCTCCTTGGAATAAATACAGTAACTAGGCTAAAAACAGAGATATAGGCAAGCTGTGACAGGGTACTGAACCAGAACATTTCACAGCTAATGCTCAGATAAGACAAGGTTGACTTGTTGTGCTACTATATACACAGTATCTACTATGAGTATCAAGACGGTCAGTGCTAAAGTAAACAATTGAAGAGTCTGTGTTTTAGTGATAGCTATGATTTGTTTGGATTGTTAGAAGCAGGTGTTGAACTGTAGTTTATTCCATGCTGTATGTTTAAGACCACAGGGACAGAATGAACACATTGTGTGATGAACTTTATTAATAAATGAACTTTAGAAATTACAAAGAAGAGTAAAAAAATATTTATTAAGAATACAAATATTGAACTTGTCATATTGTCTCCTGATAGTCTCAGTTTCTTTTCAGTTCAGTCCCAGATCTTGGGAAGGTTCTCCAAGATTCTCCGTCGATGAGACGGGTTAGACACACCTGCTGCACACAGCTCCTCCTCTGTAATACCACTGCATGAGAAGAGAACACACAATGACATTTGGCAGCGTGTACTGTATATACAGTGGGTACGGAAAGTATTCAGACCCCCTTAAATTTTTCACTCTTTGTTATTATTGCAGCCATTTGTTAAAATCATTTAAGTTAATTTTTTTTCCTCATTAATGTACACATAGCACCCCATATTGACAGAAAAACACAGAATTGTTGACATTTTTGCAGATTTATTAAAAATGAAAAACTGAAATATCACATGGTCCTAAGTATTCGGACCCTTTGCTGTGACACTCATATATTTAACTCAGGTGCTGTCCATTTGTTCTGATCATCCTTGAGATGGTTCTACACCTTCATTTGAGTCCAGCTGTGTTTGATTATACTGATTGGACTTGATTAGGAAAGCCACACACCTGTCTATATAAGACCTTACAGCTCACAGTGCATGTCAGAGCAAATGAGAATCATGAGGTCAAAGGAATTGCCTGAAGAGCTCAGAGACAGAATTGTGGCAAGGCACAGATCTGGTCAAGGTTACAAAAAAATTTCTGCTGCACTTAAGGTTCCTAAGAGCACGGTGGCCTCCATAATCCTTAAATGGAAGACGTTTGGGATGACCAGAACCCTTCCTAGAGCTGGCTGTCCGGCCAAACTGAGCTATCGGGGGAGAAGAGCCTTGGTGAGAGAGGTAAAGAAGAACCCAAAGATCACTGTGGCTGAGCTCCAGAGATGCAGTCGGGAGATGGGAGAAAGTTGTAGAAAGTCAACCATCACTGCAGCCCTCCACCAGTTGGGGCTTTATGGCAGAGTGGCCCGACGGAAGCCTCTCCTCAGTTCAAGACACATGAAAGCCCGCATGGAGTTTGCTAAAAAACATCTGAAGGACTCCAAGATGGTGAGAAATAAGATTCTCTGGTCTGATGAGACCAAGATAGAACTTTTTGGCCTTAATTCTAAGCGGTATGTGTGGAGAAAACCAGGCACTGCTCATCACCTGTCCAATACAGTCCCAACAGTGAAGCATGGTGGTGGCAGCATCATGCTGTGGGGGTGTTTTTCAGCTGCAGGGACAGGACGACTGGTTGCAATCGAGGGAAAGATGAATGCGGCCAAGTACAGGGATATCCTGGGCGAAAACCTTCTCCAGAGTGCTCAGGACCTCAGACTGGAACTAAGGTTTACCTTCCAACAAGACAATGACCCTAAGCACACAGCTAAAATAACGAAGGAGTGGCTTCTCAACAACTCTGTGACTGTTCTTGAATGGCCCAGCCAGAGCCCTGACTTAAACCCAATTGAGCATCTCTGGAGAGACCTAAAAATGGCTGTCCACCAACGTTTACCATCCAACCTGACAGAACTGGAGTGGATCTGCAAGAGGGAATGGCAGAGGATCCCCAAATCCATGTGTGAAAAACTTGTTGCATCTTTCCCAAAGACTCATGGCTGTATTAGATCAAATGGGTGCTTCTACTAAATACTGAGCATTTTTCAGTTTTTCTTTTTTAATAAATTTGCAAAAATGTCAACAATTCTGTGTTTTTCTGTCAATATGGGGTGCTGTGTGTACATTAATGAGGAAAAAAAATTAACTTAAATGATTTTAGCAAATGGCTGCAATATAACAAAGAGTGAAAAATTTAAGGGGGTCTGAATACTTTCCGTACCCACTGTAGATTTGTGATCATAATTGATATTAGTCCAAAAATAAGTACTGATTATTTTACAGACAAGAAAACAACACGGGTAATACAATTCTGATTGAGGATTTTAGTTTACTATCATTTCTGCATTTACTGTTTTCTAGCTTGCTTCCAAATCTAGCAATTCTATAATATTACAAATATTGTTGGCTATTTGACAAATTGCTTTTGCTTGCCTTTTGTAAGTCGCTTTGGAGAAAGCGTCTGCTAAAAGTGTAAAAGTAAATGTAAAACTATTAAAGATTTGATGTCATTTACTTGGCAAATCCTGTGAAAAAGTGCAATTTTGTTTCCTGGAGGCCTGATAAAAACTGTTCCTAGTCCTGGAAGTTGTGTTGCAACCGAGTAATCTGATTGGAGCTTTGTGATTATTCGTAAGTTGCAAGTTTGTGTGCAGTATGCATCAGACGGTCAGTGAATGGACTGTGGGCGGCCTGTGGGTGTGCTGTCGGAGGCTGAGACTAGAGTAATGTAAACAAGCACTGCAGAATCATCCTGAACACCTTTTTGTCTCTCTCAGAACAATGAGAAACAGATGAGGCAGTTGTCTGTCATTCCTCCCATGATGTACGATTCCGAACAGCGGAGAGTGAAGTTTATCAACATGAACGGTCTGATGGATGACCCAATGAAGGTCTACAAATCCCGCCAGTTCATGAATGTCTGGACCGAACACGAGAAGGAGATCTTCAAGGAGAAGTGAGTAACAGTGGCTTATTTTGGCATGTTAAGTGAGTGAGTGTAAATGTGCTGCAGTTTTTTCTCACCTTTGTCTCTTTGGCATGTTAAGTGAGTGAGTGTAAATGTGCTGCAGTTTTTTCTCACCTTTATCTCTTCTGTGACATAGGTTTGTGCAGCATCCAAAAAACTTCGTGCTCATTGCTTCATTTCTGGAGAGAAAGGTGGGTTTTCTGTTTTGTGACTTTGAGTATGGTGGACTGCTGTCACACCCAGGATGTCCCTGGATGTTCATCAGTGGATGTTTGAACTGAAGCGCTGTAACAGCTTTACTGACTCAGATCACACCTCCCCACCCACAGACAGCGTTTTTTCATTGCATTATGGTATTTTCTTTTTAACTTCAAGCCCAAGTGATACAGCTGTATTTATATTTTCTCTCAGCTTGTAACACTCCAAAGAGAAAGGAAAACTTGAAATCGCATCATATGACCCCTTTAACGTTTATAAAACTAAGTTTTACGAGCCCAAACTTTTGAACAGTAGTGTATTAACAAAGTAAGCACTAAATGACAATAGTGAATGCATATAGCTGTGTCAATATTAACAGCTACAAACTGTAAATTACAGCTACAAACTGTAAATTTGCAACTGACATGTTTCAAGACTGGCATTCATTGCAAGACAGCATTTTAAGTAGGTCATATTCCTTTTTCCTCCCTGAAGTTTTTTTTTTTTTGGAAAGATAATGCAAAATTGCAAGCTATTGTGTAGGGGTGAGTTGAATTTGCATTCATTCTTGTGATTGCAAACAAGCAGAAGGACTGTTTTAAGATTCAGTTTAAAGGGGTCATATGATGCGATTTCAATTTTGCCTTTCTCTTTGGAGTATTACAAGCTCTTGGTGCATAAAGAAGATCTGTAAAGTTGCAAAGACTAAAGTGTCAAATCCAAAGAGATATTCTTTATAAAAGTTAAGAGTCAACCACGCCTACCTAAAACAGCTCATTCTAACACGCCCCCACATACCTACGTCACTATCTGGGAAGATTTGCATAACGCCGCCCAAATGTTCACGCAAAGAAAGAAGGCGTAACTTTGATTCTCGCTGTAGTATTGTTGCCGCCGCCATGTTGTGGAGGTGCTGTGTGTTTCGTTATGAAAGCGAAACTACTTAGTTTGGCCTTCCAAAAGAGGACACAACTAGAAATCAGTGGTTAAGTTGTATTTACAGCACTGTTCCGGAACAGTTCAACCCAAATATTCAGATGTGTGCAGCACATTTTATGGAGGACGAGGACTGTTTCCTGGGAGAGTAGCCTACAGTGCCGGTGTCTGTTTCTATAAATTTAATCAGTAATTATGTCCCCACTGGATGCAACAAATTCCTCGTTTATAATGGGTTTTATTGTTTTTGTCTCATCGCACACACGACATCACAGTATGTTAAGGGGCGTAACATTTCCGTCACACTAGGGATATCCCGGTATCAAATTTTCATATTGCGATAAATTGCTAATGCTTTTATTACGGTATACGGTATTATCACGATGAGGTATTCGGCCAATCACAACGCACTGGATAGCTGGCCAATCAGAGCACACCTCGCTTTTCAGAATGATGAGCTTTGTAAAAATCGACGCGTTTCAGAAAGGCGGGGCATAGAGGAGAAACAATAATGTACAGTATGTGGAAAATAATGTGTTTTTTTTTTACCTTAAACCGCATAAACACATTGCATTACACCAAATACACAAGATAATGTTATTTTTCGCAATGTCATATGACCCCTTTAAGTACTCAAGAAGCCCCCTAGTGTTCAGTATGCACTGTTACAACATCTGCATCTCAGTCTGAGAAAGCGTGTGCTTTTAAATGGCTCTGTGTTTTGACTTTTTTTTTTTATGAGGGGGGTGTGTTTGAATCATGCTTAAGGAGAGGTTGTGCTTTTTCTTTTTTTATGAGAGGGTGTGTTTTGTGGTTGTTTTTGTACGCTGTTGACTATGTTTTATGAGAACTCATACCGCGTGTGTGTGCGCGCGCGCAGGTTATCAGGCAAAAATGCATCTGTGCTTTGAGAGTCTCTCTCTTGCTCTCTCTGATTTATGGAGGGCTGTACAGCTTTCCAGGAATCCGTTTTATATCTGTTTGGCACAGCCGAGAGGCTCCATGCTGTTGTCAGGGACCACAGAGGGAAAAGAAGAGAACATGAGAGTTTCAAACTCCAACTTTAAAGCTGTTGGAGCATAGTATCTGAGGCTTCTTATTTTCACATGCATACTTACTCAAACACAGTGTTTTAGGAGGAGGAAATCTGGCTATGACACCCAAACAAGGTGGTTATCTGATTGCATGGATAGATGATTTCAAGTAAACATGAAATTGAAACCCCAAAAAGTTTGTATTTGTTGTGAGGGGACTAATCCTCTGTTATGGAAGTAAAATGCATTGCTAATGCAATCAATGTATCATTTTACTTTAAGACAACAAACATAATTGGACATTACACCTGTGTTTTGGTTCTGAATATTTGATCTGTTTCATCATTCAACTGTAATGGTGAAAGAAAATATATAAATTGAGTAGGCAACAAGAGATGGATAATGAATTTAGGGGCATGGTTAATAATGTAGACTTATGTCATTCCATTATGTAGATCTCATCTAAATAAACTAGTGCTGTCAAACGATTAATTGCGATTAATCGCATTCAAAATAAAAGTTTTTATTTACATAATATATGTGTGTACAGTGTATATTTATTATGTACTGTATATATAAATACTCACACATACAGTATATATTTTGAAAATATTTACGTGTATATATTTGTGTTAATATAATTTATATCATATATATAAATATATTTAATATATAAACGTAACACATGTTTCTTAAATATTCATGCATGGGTGTATATTTATATATACATAATAAATATACACAGTACACACACATGCTGTGTAAACAAAACTTTTATTTTGGATGCAATTAATCGCGATTAATCATTTGACAGCACTAAAATAAACTCAACATTAGCATTTTAAGTCATTAAAAATGAACAATTAATAGCCTGCTTTGAACTGGACTTGACAAAACGCGTACAAAGGAAGGTAAAGGGACAGTTCAACCAGAAATGTAACATCTGTTATCATTTACTCACTTTTATGCAATTTCAAACCTGCATGACTTACGTTCTTCTGTGAATCAAAAAATTTTTAAAAAGATATTTTATAATAACGTTCTTCCAAATATCATCTTTTGTGTTCCACAGAACATAAAGGTTTGGAACAACATCAGAGTGAGAGAATTTTTGGGTGAACTATCCCATTAATAAAGATTTAAGGACTGAGCGACGTGAGCCTGTGGAACTAAAAAGTTATATTTATTAATTTATAACAACATTTGGTTTGACCAACAAACTTCAACAGCCCTCTACGGACACCTTGGCAATTGAATCGCCATTGGCTAGTGAACTGATTTGCTGAAATCAAAACAGGGACGATAATAGGTGAGCGCCAGCCAATGAGATTGCCGTTTGCGCATTAGTTCCGCCCACTACCGGAGAAAGCGGTAGTTCTTGAAAGCTGAAGAATTCCAAAGGAACTCTGTTATTTTTACAGGAAAATACAACAAAGAATATCGTTTACATGTAGCGCGTCAATTCTCTCTCTCCCTGTCTCTCTGCGTGTGTGTGAAACAAAGCGACGGCGAGTCGTGCGCCTTCACACTAGAGTTTACGGTACGTTAAATACAGGTGCGTTGCACATCCATTCAGATGAACTGAAAAAACAGCACAGATCGCTTGGCGGAGAGTGAAACCGATGCGCTCAGTCAGAGAGTGAAAATATATCTGTGCTAAACTTATACTTAGCCTCCAACTCACACTGGCGAGTGAAATCTGAGAATTTATTAGCAATTGGCTAATATTAGACATAATTTAGTCGCCCAGAGTGAAGATTTAGTCGCATATGCGAGTGATTTACTCGCAATGTAGAGGGTTGTTCAAGCTATCATTTCATTACTCAGTAAAATAATGTAATGTTCATTATTTGAAGGTGTCATTGATACCACAAGAAAAAAGCTCTTGTAGTCTTACTACGCACTTGTGTGTTCTTGGTATTCTGCTTTCGCAATGTGTGAAATACTATAGACACTGTATTGTGGTATTGCAATCGGGTCATCTAGTTTAATGAACAATATCCCATAAATAAAGTCCTCATTTCCCATTAAATCCTCTCTATCCTGGCCTGTTTTCATGGGGGTGCTTTAAAACTTTATTTTCTTTCTGTTTCACATGCTTGCAATCCCTGTTAGCATTCTTTACCGTGAGAATGTTTTTAAATAAACTCAATAAACCAAATACCATATCTTATTGAATTATGAGTAAATGTGTTTAACATTTGGCAAATGCCAGAAAAACTAAGTTAACAAGCGCTGCTTGATGTACATATGATATATCTTGGATAATATCAAACAAATGGGATGAGCATATACACGGCTGGTCTAACTCGATTAGCCCTCTGTCACCTGTGTGTGTGTGAGCAGCTGCTGTACGGAATCGGCATTAATAACTGCTATGCTTCAATCTAAACAGCGCAGACACGCTGGATAAGAGTGTGTGTAACAGAGGACTTCTGTGAGCACCCCTGCCATGCAGATCACAAGCTGAGGCTGCGGGTCATTGAAAGCATGTGTCTTTGAGTCAGGAGTTGAGCTGCAGTAATGAGGAGATGATCTGATCTTTTCCACATACACACACACACACTCACTCACGCTGCCTGACCCTTCAGCCCCCAGTAGCCCCAGGCGCTTTCAGCAAGCAGGCGTATGCGCAGCTGTTTTTGTTTGCATATGTGGCCATAAGTGTTTCCTGGTGTCTCTTTAGCTACCTGGATATATACAGTTCAGTCTTGGTTTCCTCTACCACCTGTTGTGATTCTTATGTTCACATACTGATTAAAAAGAGAGGGCAAGCAGGTTCAGTTTTTATCTTATCTTTAAAGTGTGTGTGTGTGTGTGCGTGGAGTATAGTCTGTTAACCGAGCTTTCCTGTGTGTGGGTGGAGTGTATGACCCTGCTCCACATTAGAGACCCATAAAAGTGTTTGTGTCAGTCGAGTTCAGCTCACGTGGAGTACTGAACGCTGTTCCAAGCAAACTTCTGCTCGAGCTTTCTGTTCCCAGAGTCCCCCGAGAATGTTTTAGAGAAAGCGAGCGAGAGAACAAGCCAGAAAAATATGCATAAGCGGGAAGAACAAACTTCTATTCCTTTTTTTCCTTCTTAAACTGGCAGCACGTGTGTTCTGCCGTCCCTCTAGAGCTTTTTCGGAGAAAGAGGGAGGGTTGGAGAATGTGTGTGTACGCGAGACACCCCTCCTGAGCTGCGCAGTGGTATGCACCGTTTGTACCGACACCAGTGGGAAAGTTGTGGAGCAGCTTGCTGTGCCAATCAAAATCCTGATGGGGCTGGGTTAAGATCGGTCAGTCTCCTCTCCCCTCCACCCTGCGGGGATTACCTGGGTTGACCCTAGCATTCAGATTAGCTAGCGCTCGCACACATTTTTGTGTGTGAGTGAGATGGAGATGCCACCGCTTCTTTAGCAGGCTCAAACAACCCCGTGGCACGCTTTCTCAGAATATGCGCCATTGATCTGCGAGCCGGGTCCCGCAGCTGAGGATCTGTTCCAGCGCAACGCCGCTGTCAGGCAGCCTGAGGCGCGCGCTCCTGCTCAGCCTGTTCTTGTCACTAACTCTGGCCTCGGCGCCACTGCATTCTGGGATATATAATGGCATAAAAAAGGACACTCATGAGGGGCAGATAAACATAGATGAAGGTACTGTATGAATGAGTAAATGTGGAGTAGTTTTTGTGTGCTTTTGGAGGCTGTTGTGATTGTTTGTAGAGATTTGTAGAGCTACATTCTTGTTTTTGGTTAGAGGCGCACGCAATGGTTAAGGTTTGTTTGTTTGCTTATTTGTACTTATTATATATAAAAGGACATATATGTATTTTGTTTGTGGTTAATAGTATTGTTGTTGTTGTTGTTATTATTATTATTATTATTATTGTAGTTTTTCGGGAATATATGTTATATATGGAATATAAACTAATAATCATTATCCGTTACTGTCATCATACCAATATCAGCATACCATGTAAGTAAGAGGTGTGTGGCGGTGATTAGCTTGGATGTGCTATTGACTTGGTGACATCTACAGGATGGGAGGTGTGCTGCTAATAAATTTGAGCAAATTTTCATGCATCTACTTGAAAACAAAATAAAGGCATGGATTAAAGGATCAATCTTTTATGAAGGATTTTATGAATCAAGCCTAATCAAAATAGATGTTTTCTTTGCAAACTGCTAGAGTTGTTGACGCTCAATTTTGTTTGCAAGTTAGGTTTTCCTTGGCCTGGTCTCCTCTCTCTCCTTTTCTTGATTGGTTTATCTGAGCTTCAGCAGGAGCTTTTGACCGTCTTTCCTGTTACTTCACTTGGTTTACAAAATTATGATAATATTTTTACTGAACTTTTCTTGTGTTAGAGTTGCATCTTTCACTGCACATGTTAATTCAGAGTCATTTATAACGCAATTAGCCTCTTTTCCACTTTTCACATTTGTTACCATATATTAAGTCACTTTTGTTGGGAATTGAAAAACTTGCAATGTTTTAATCATATGATATTTTGTGATCTGAGCCAAATGGAGAATTTTGCAGTAATTATTTGTAGAGCAGTTTGTTGTAACCACTGCTTTACCTACAGATACAAAATGAAGTGTGTCCAAAGGTTCACTGAAAGCTGTAAAGCTAAAGTTTCCAATAAAAGATAAGGCGACATTAAAATATTGACGGTAGATTAATTTTGAATTCTTACTTCCTCTCCCTTGAAAAGATTTATCCTGCTTAAAAAGAAAAGAAAAATCCTGTCTGTTAATATAGCTTGTGTAAACATTTAATATTTCCAGTCATGCAGCCTTTAATAAGCTGTTGTATGTGTGCAAGTGTTGTTAGTAACTGGTTATAAAAACCCTGGTGCGTGTTCCTTCACATTCAGGATATCCCGCATTCTGTTCTTTTCCATTGTGCTTCAGCTGTTTTTGAAAACAAGGTGTCTTAAGAAAATGTCCCTATGAATCCTAAACCAGCCTAATTACATTCTTCCTAAAGACCGATTTGTCGACTCACAAAGTAATCGATTTTAAAAAATGTTGTATCATTTCCCTACCTTTAGGAGATCCACCCTCTTTTTCTGATCCTGGCATATTTTTACACCTAATGCTAAGTTCACGCTACAGAACTTTAAACGTCGGCAGATCGCTGTGCTGTTCAGACTACATGACTTGATTGTCTGTCTTTAAGTCGTTGTGGTGTTCACACTACGTGACTCTATGTAAATGATGCGCAATCGGGGTTTACACACTACACAAGCTGACAACAGCTCTGTCACCCAACGACTCTAGAAACCACATTTTGTCACAAACACACATGAGAATTGGAACGGGAATGACGTGAAACAACACGTGAAACAGGAGTTGTTTATTTGAAAATGGATGTCGGGAAGAAATTAGTACTGCAAGCTGTTTGCTCGATGAAAGATTTTGCTCCATTTATTGTGTCCAAACTTTTCTTTAAGCCATGTTGCTGCTGTTGTTTTTCCTCCGGTGACCTCAACCCATGCCTTGCTCTCTCATTGGCTGTAGCTTGTGACGACACCTGACACCACATGATGTCGAGTCGGCCGACCGGTCCAGATATTTGGCATGCTAGATATTTGTTTGCCGTCGGCGAGGTGTTGGCGACACGTCAGTGAGCCTCTTTGATGCGTCGTCGTGTAGTTCACACACAAAGATTGCCGAGCGCCGATCACCTGCTGATTTTCCCCCGATCACAGCCCAACTTGTCAGCGAGCTCGTTAACTTGCAAATCGGGCTTAAAATCCTGTAGTGTGAACTAGGCATAACTGACACCCGGTATATTACCTGAAACTTTTTAGATGCATGTTTACCTTTTATAAAGAGCCATCTGCATGCTAGAAGGCTGAAACACCAGTATTTTCATCTCAGAGCTCTTACACACTATAAAGTTTCGTTAAGCTACATCAATACTTTTACAATTACAAAATAATTTAGAATGTATTTTCTGTATTTGATCCCAAACAGTTAGCAATGACGTAAGAAAGCAGTGACCATGTTGTGTGACTTCTTGTGGCATGCTTGCAGATTCTAATTGTAAATGTGGTCCAGCCAAAATTGTTGATTTGTGAGTTGCTGTTGTATAGTTTTTTTTAAATTAGTGAAATAATGGCTTTAAACAGCTATAGGGTTTAAGTAAATGTTGAAGTAACACTCTGAGGGTTAAAGTAATATTGGTCAAAGAAGATTACCTCCTTCTGCTTTGTGTAAACCTGTTCATTTCCACAGTGAAACAGTGAGCACATGAATGAATAAAATCTTGCCTTTTCATCAGGACTTGATTCCTCAAATAGCACATGAACAGAAGCTACTCTATACCAGTGTTATTTTAATATTATACTATTATAGTATGCACGTACTGTACAGAATGATGCCTTTGGTGTATGATAGAGTAAACTAGAGGTCTACACGGGTCCAAAAATTCGTACCCGAACCGAAGAGACCCGTAAATGTGCTACACTGAACCAACCCGGACCAGTCTATTATTTTGAAAGTTGGACCCGGGCCCGTGCAGAACCGAGAAATGTCAAAAATGTACTACCCGGAACCGACGCGGACCGTCAATTATTTGAAAGATGGACCCGAACCCGGCGGGAAGACACAGACCCGACTGGACCCGATCGGCACATATTCCACAGCAAATTGCTATTAACAAGTCGATAAACAAGTTGCGAAAATTACACTTTTTGTCTTACCTAATGTAAGAAGCCTTCTCCCTTGTACCTGACTGTGATGCACACAATCCTCCTTGCCAAGAAAGTTCCATCCGTGTTATTCCTCTCTTGCCAATTGAAATGCGTAATCCACTCATTATTCCAGTTTCAAAAGTCCACTTGCTGTCACGGTGACGGATGACAAATGCGACTTTGCAGTTTTGCATTTTTTGTATCTCGAGTCAACTTGCATAATAATTTAGACTGTTTGCCCATTTGGATTATAATAACGATTGCTCGTCCAGTGCCATGGCTGCTGACGTTAGCTTTACTTATTTGATATCATCTCTGTGCTCTCTGAGCAAAAATGTTAGATATAACAACAAGACGGTTCATTCATAATATTATTTAAAAAATAAAAATTATTGATTATTTCAAAGGGTTACTAATGACGCATCATTTGGATATTTTCATGTCTGGGAAAAATTTGGGATTAAACGGGTTAAAATGCGTTTTAAACAAAGTTAAGTGGTTTTCATTACCCATTTTACTCTTAGTAATTTAATAATTTAATGAATTTCATAATTTAAAAGTTTAGTGCAGAAGTATCGAATCGGTATCGATACGATACGATCGAAAACAAAATAAGGGGTATCGCCCATCCCTAGTAATAGCACATCCAGCCGCAGCCTCCCCCGGGTCCTAATGCTCGTTCGGTAAGGAGTTTTAATTCCGTAGGGGGCGCTGTTGGTCTACTTCTAATAAAATGACAGTAAAATACACAAATAACATTTAGACTGTGTTTCTGATTAAATAACGCAGTAATTGATGTCATAAAATCATGAGTATGTTTTGATTTAAAGGTCAGAAGCTATAGCTTACACGAATAATAAAACAATCATTTGTAAATTAAATAATTTTATATATACTGATTTATTCATTAATGTGTAATATGTTATATATTTTAAACACATTATGAGCTCTAAAAGATTTTCTGGATTTTTACAACTCTTTTGCTTTAGACCATCTACAAATGTTAAATCTTAAAATAAAATGTTAAGGTTACTACTGCATCTTTCTGAAAAAAAATGCAGCGATTGATATATAGTTTATTTATAGTTATTTTCAAAGCTTCAGTGTACTGTCATTATAAGTTCAGTAATAAGTTCTTGTTAAAAACTAACCAAAATTAAAAATAATTTGCTTATAATTTCCACACAGGAGAGACTTGGTGTTGTTTCCAAACAAAAGGAAATATATCTGCTATCGGCCAAAAAGAGTGGGAAAATATCAGCCTAGTAACATCTCATCTGACCACAGTTTACTGATGTTCTACTGAAGCTGCCTCGTCACCTGTACTGTTTCCATGCTCGCTTGACACCTGTCGCTGAGGCGAAGTAGAGTGTGCATCTGAAAAGTGTCCCATTCTGCGTCTAAATAAACGAAATTCTTGTCAAGGAAAAAGAGACCGAGGAAGCAGTTGTGAGTGGGGTGGCCAAAACTAGCTCTGCCCCTGCGTTAACTGCGTTAAATATTTTTTAACGCTGTTAAAGTGAAAAAATTAATCGTCTGCGTTAATTTTGACAGCACTAGTTGTTTTGTTAGTTATCAGTTTTAGTCATTTTAGTAGATCAACTTAAATATTTTTTAGCTAAAGCAACATCACTGAATTTCAGTTTAATTTCAGTTAAATTTTTTTTTAACGATAACAACACAGCTTTGTTTATAGGTTTATAATGAAGTAAATCATCATTCCCATATAAACTGTCAAACAAAACAAAAAAAAGACTTGGCCTGTAAAGAAAGTCTTTAGATGGGAAGCAAAGTCATTGTAAACTGAGCTTTGAATGGCAGAAATGGGCTTTTATTGTGATCCATGTGTCAGTTTGTCGATGTGCTATAACTGGAAGAGAGCACTGGAACAAGCACATCCTCCTCCTGCCCTTCAGCCTAGAGAATGAATGATCGATCTTGCGTCCGCTCCATGCTTGCTATATGTCTTTCATGTGTTGGCCCCTTTGTCATTTTTATTTTAGTTTTGACCTGAATTATCTCAGTTTCCCTTCCTTCCCCCTTATTTGTTCTATGTCTCTGTGGCAGAGGTTCTGACTTTTTTTTTTTTTTTTTGGTCCTATCTGGCAGCTGCGCAGCTTGTTTGTGTTGGCTGAGCCCTGCTTGTTCCAATGCTTTGCTTCTCTTTCGTGGAACAGACCGAGCAGGAGGAGGGGCTCCAGTTCCTCTGTCCGCGCCAGCAACCATGATAAAGGACCTTGGGCCGTTAGCACACTGGCTCCCTCATCAAATGAAGGAAAAAAGACCCTCTTCACCAACTGTAGTCCTGAACTTAGGCTAATGTTAGTCTAAAGGAGGCCTTACATTTTCGTTTTACATTTACATGCACTTACATTTTCACTTAATTGTCTGACTGTAAGCCTGCATATGAAACGCTGCTCTAGAAGGTGACTATGTTCACATTTGAAACCTGAATATTTAGTATTTAGATAATTTTGCTTTGTTTACCTTGTTTTTTATGAGTAACCTACATTTGTGTGAATGTACATCAGTGTGAACTGACCCAGCCCCCTTCCTCCTGTTTAAAAAAAACTATAACGTCACCTGCTTTGCAGATGCTGATAACCTTAATAACAAGATCTCATGTTTGGAAGGCTGTCAAGTAAACTCAAATTGCAAACTTAATTTCCTAATACTTCTCTATTGATTTCTTGTGAAGCTTAGATGGTTTTGAAAGTTTAAATGGAAGTGAAACATCTCGTTTCTGCACTGACTACGCTGGCCTTCAGATATTTTGCAGTACAGAATCAACTTTATTGATGCTGTATAATGTTGTTTGCACCTGTTGGATAAATATGGTTCAATAACATAATATTCTTTGTCAAATTAATTTATTAAAAAATTACATGAAAAATGCAATTCATACTGTGACTTGAATACATCTCTTCTGTAATGAGAATGTTTTTAATTTCTGAATTCTGAAAATTCTGAAAAAATCTTACCCAACCCTACATTTTTGAACAGTAGTGCATGTCATTGACTTGCATTTATTGTATCAAATGTGTGACTGTAGATACAAAGATCTACAGATCAGATCTGTGGTACATGTTTGTTTATGCATGTTCATGAACATTGGAGAAAGATTTTACTCCTGACTTCTGCTGCTATGAGAGACACTTTTTAAACTCTTTAAACTTACACTAACAGCATAAAACATTGGGCTCATTGTGTTTTGTGTGTGTGGATGGTGTTTCCCAAGTCTCTGTTCATGTGGGCACCACCTACAGGACTTTGTTCTGATTGGCCAGTACTTGCTCTGTTTAGCTTTTCTCTCACTTGTTCATCTGCCTCTTCTCTCTTCATATTTTTCCACCTCTTCTTGGTCCTTTCTTTCTGTTGATGACATCTATGTCCTGGTATTCATCACATATGTTAACATCATTGTATGCTGTGCATGTTTAGATGTTTGGCCATTCCAGTCATGCCAATCATGCATATTTTACCCTTCGACCGACATTATGCGTTTCTGCCATATGTATCAGATCTTAAGAGTTCTGTGCTTATCGTCACACTGAGGATCAGATAAGGTTTCGAAAGGCAAAAAAATATTAGCACCATTGAGCACGGAAAGCTACATTTCTAAGAACTAGCAAGGCCAGGTTACTTTGTTCTTGTAGGTAATTCAGTCCCAACTAGTTTGCACAGTGAATCTGACTTCATTTTTCAGATTTGTTTTTTAAATTTCTGTTGTTATGTCATATGAAAAATGGTAGAATTGCAATGCTTTTTACTTTCCTTGTTAGGAAAGTAGGCCTGAAGGGATGTGATGATTGAATGTGTTTGAAATGTTGTTTTATGGAAAAAAGTAAGGAAGAGACAGAGATAGATCATCAGTAACCAGACAGGAATTTTGTTTGATTCAGTCCAGAGCAGGAATGATTTGGAGCATGCATTTCAGTTTGCCGTCTGGCTTTAAACTGAAGTGAGATCCATTTTGTGGGCCCTGTCACAGTGGCAAACAGTGAAATGTAGAAAACTCGGGTCCTCCCAAAAGTTTGACAGTTTCCAAACTAAGGAAATGGCAGTCTGACTATAGTCAAGAAGGCATTCTTATAACATGATCTGCACAAAATTTTGTGTGTATAATATATATATTTCCAGTTTATTTCACATAAAAACTTGTTCTAACAGCACAAACTAGTCACTATTGATTTAAAAAAAAAACTTCACAGAGAGATGGCGCAAGCATGTGCAACAAAGAAGGGCAAGCTTAATAAATGTAACTGAAATATTCACTTTAATGAAATATTTTTTAGATTCATATTTCAACATATTTCCCATTTGGTGTTTGATGATACATAAGCATTACTTTTTCTTCATAGCTGGGCTGACACAATTTAAGGTGAACTGCTGATTATTTCCGTGACGTGAACCTGGTCACAGGTCTGTGCTCTTGAAAAGGTCGGCTGTCTAAATGCTTCTTTTATTGTGATTCTTTTCCTTTTAAAGCAGATAACACGGCCGTCACAGGAAGACAAGACAGACGACAAGAACGAAGAGGACAGATCAGAGAAATCAGAGAAGAAAGAGGACGACGAGGAGAAGAAGGAAGAGGAGGAGAAAGATGAAAAAGAGGACTTTAAGTAAGTCCCATGTTTTTGTTTTCTTAAAAAGTAGAATTAATTATAAAAAAACTGGGATTTTTGACTTTTCTGTGAACACACAAAACAGTACAGAAGTGGTTTTGAGATCTGTGTGAGCTCATGTTATGGAAGCTCTGTGATAAACTCCAAAAGACCTAATACATCAGCAGGTGAGAAACTCGCACAGTATCTGCATTCGTAACTCTGTGTTCTGCTCGCTCTGACCATCTGAATAGATTTGTTTATATCTAGGTTTGAATTAGGGCTGCACGATAAATCGCATGCGATATTTAACGCACATCTTGTCAGTAAAGCCATTCTGTAATCAGCGGTAAATCTCCATCACGTGCGGGCTTTCACATGGAGCAGCATTAACTACACAGAGCCGTTGTTCACTGACAAGCTGCGCAAAACCACGATCATATTTTGCGCAGCTTGTCAGTGAACAACGGCTCTGTGTAGTTAATGCTGCTCCATGTGAAAGCCCGCACGTGATGGAGATTTACCGCTGATTAAAGAACCGGCTTTACTGACAAGATGCGCGTTAAATATCGCATGCGATTTATCGTGCAGCCCTAGTTTGAATTGAGTTCATTGCGGAGGAGAGCCTTTATTCCTCGCCTTTGCCTCCGCAGGGACATCAGTAAAGATAAAGAGAAGTGTGAGGGAGAGGAAGAAGAGGGTAAGGAGCAAAGCACGCCACGCGGCCGAAAGACCGCCAACAGCCAGGGACGTCGTAAGGGCCGCATCACCACCCGCTCCATGGCCAATAATGAAGCTGCATCTGTGGTGGCAGAGGAACCACCTCCACCGCCACCTGAACCAGGTAACATTTGTTGAGCATGTGTTTTTATGCCTTGCAAGCTTAAACATTTGGTTTGCATTAAATATTATTGCCATTCATTTTACATAAGCTTTTCTAAAAACGGTTGTGCTGCTTAATATTTGTGTAAATTCCTTTTTGTCTGCATTCTTTGATGAATAGAAATGAAATGGAAGTGTTTAAAAAAAATTTAAGTAACACTTTAGTATAGGGACCAATGCTCACTATTAAGTAATTGGTTATTAGCATTAACATATTGGCTGTTTATTAGTACTTATAAAGCACATATTCTGCAGGACCATATTCTACATCCCTAATCTTAGGGCTGGGCGATATAGCTAAAAATTTTATCAACGATATAATGTTTCATATCGTTCGTTCGGTATCGATAATTATTAACATTTTTTATAACCTTTTTTAAAACAAAAAGCAATGGAAAAAAAGGTTTAAATTTAACCACTGTATTTATAATTAACACAATTTATTGAGACAAACAACAAATATTTTTTGAAGTGCCATTCACACAGATTGCATTTAAAAACATATGAGACGCAGTGAAAAGGAATAAACCACCACAAATTCACGACGTGTTTTCTCAGTTTAAACTCTTTTAACTTTGCATGGCTTTCTATACATCTCTTGTGTGAGATGTGAGTGCAGCAGTCATAATTTTGTCAGTCTAAAAAATGCGCTGAATATGCGTTCTGTGTGAATGGCTTGGTTTCAGTTTTCACCTAATCAAGATCTTCTCCGCATTGAGCTTCTATATTTCTCTAATATTTTGAATGAATAACGCAGCAGCGGCGCGTCTCGTGGGCTAGACTAATAAAACATTCAATTGCAACAACGTCACTTACATCATTATCACCGCATCTCGTGCGCCACTGATGACGCTCCCTGATGCACACCTAACATTCAAATGCAAATGTTTATTTTAAATTCGACTAATATTCATTCTTTATTCACAATCTCCTCATCACAGGCAGGAACAGCACTCATTTCAGCATGTGTTCGTGTTTTTGTGTGCTGTCTGCGTCACTCATAGTAGGCTACGTGCCTATATCGTGCGCTATATTGAACATTTTTTCTATCGATATTGAAGAAGGTGTACCGTCGATAAATATCGATACCGTTTTATCGCCCAGGCCTACCTAATCCTACCCAATACCTAAACTTAACAATGATCTTACTAACTATTAATAAGCAGCAAATCAGGAGTTTGAGGCAAAAGTCATAGTTAGTGGTTTTTTAGTAGCGAGAATTGGACCTTAAAATAGTGACCAAATTTAAAAATTAATATTTTAAACCTAAAATTTTAAATATCTTTACTGTCACTTTTGAGCAATTTTTGCAAATCAAAAACCTAATCAATTGTTCTGATAAATGATTTTATGAAAGAAAAGAAAGAAAAAAAAAATTATAAAAGAAAATGAACATCAAATGAAAATTATAAATACATTTTTAAGGCACACAAAACAAGATATTAAAATATGGGGCCAGTAAACATGCAAGTAAAAATTTGAGTTTCTGAGAACTAGCAGAAAAAACATTAGTAAAAAATATATATATATTTTTTATCTTACCTTATTGTATAAACTTAACTCATTTTCATTCAGTCAAGCAGTTTCACAAACTGAAATGTAAAAAATAACAACTGGGGAACAACTGAGAACTAGAGATTCATGTTTCTTTTTTTAATGATTAGTCCGAACAGATTTGCTTATAATGCATTCAACTTCCCAATGATAGGGCACGTAAACGTAAGCACAAATGAGCCCAAGTCATGATGGTTTATTCTGTGTGTTGCTTAGTTCTGCCGGAGCCCACACCCCCCTCTAAAACTGAGCCGGTGCAGAAACAGGCACGAGAGCCAGCAAAACTCTCTCCCACAGCCAGCACAGAGACACGAGGTAAGGACTACCTTTTTCCTCACATACTTTCCCTCTCTTTCTGTTCAAATAGCTTCTCACATTAACACACTCACTCACTTTGTCAACTCTCAAAAAGGTGCATCTGTGCTGTGATGTCTGTCTGCTGATCGTGTGGTCAGTCTGTGAGCGGTTCCTCTGTGAACTCATTACAAAGCCTAAAAGTCACCTAGTTTGCTGCTTTCTCTGGCCGCAGCGTGGTATATGTGTGCGTTAGTGGTGTTTGATTCAAATGTTACCGTGATCGCAGGGCTGCTGTACAGAAACACCGAGGATTTGATCCCTGAGGCTGACAAATCACCAATACTTGTCTTCTGTTCTTTCGCCGTCATGACATCTAGACGGTTTCTCTTCATTTTACTGTTTATTCCCTTTGCACTCTTTTGTTCCCTCTTTTCGCTGTTCAGGTAAACGCGGCGAGTCTCAGGAGGAGTTTGATTAGAGCGAAAAGGGGAATGAAAGAACGGCCTGATTGTTTCATTTAGCTTTTAGTGCCACTTTAAAATGAATTAAGAGACCTCATTGTTCTGTAAACAGTGTTCATTACGTTTACCCCTGAACAGCGTCCAGGTCAGAAATTGTAGCTGATTAACGTGCTGTACCTTGAAGTTTAGTCACCAGTTGTGTTTCAGCCTGTACTCCACAGGCTGAAACACAACTGGTGACTAAACTTCAGGCTCCAGTCTGACCTCCGTCCTCTGTATTATGATCTGATGGACCAGTAAAGCTGTTAAAAGGGTTAGTTCAACCAAAAATGAAAAATCTGTGAGTAATTACTCACCCTCATGATGTTCCAGACCTGTAAGACCTTCATTCATCTTCAGAACACAAATTAAGATATTCTTGATGAATTTCGAGAGCTTTCTGACCCTGCATAGACAGCAATGCAACTGACACATTCAAGGCTCTGAAAGGTATTAAGGACATCATTAAAGTAGTCGGTGTGACTAGTGGTTCAACTTTAATTTTATGAAGGTACGAGAATCATTTTTGTGCACAAAGAAAACAAGAATAAAGACTTTATTCAACATTTCTTCTCCTCCTGTGCATGCATTCCTCTGCTTGTAAACAAGGCGCAGTGCATGCTTGTTCTTCATCAGCAGCAGCATGCACATGTGTTGTGGGACTCTCAATAATGGCGGAGGATGGGATGAGGAGGAGAAGAATTGTTGAATAAAGTTATTTTTGTTTTCTTTGCGCACAAAAAGTATGGTCGTAGCTTCATAAAATTTTGGTTGAACCACTAATGTCACATGGTCTACTTTAATGTTGTCCTAACTACCTTTCTGGGCATTGAACATGTCAGTTGCATTGCTGTCTATGGAGGGTCAGAAATCTCTCGGATTTCATCAAAAATAATTTATTAATAATTTTATTTGTGTTCTGAAGATGTCTTACGGGTTTCAATGACATGCCGGGGTGAGTAATTAATGACAGAATTTTCATTTTTGGGTGAACTTTTCCTTTAAACCTCAAGCCCTCGTAGGCCCAAAGAGATTCTGCCTGTCTCGCCTGAAAAATCTTGTCTGTGCTTGATTTTTATCTTCTCTGTCTTTGAAGTAAGTTTAAAGTTATAAACCGGCGCTCAAGAGCCATAATGCACCAATTCCATGTCCAAACCGCCATCAACATGACAAAGCAGTGGACTACGAGCATATAAACGTAACACGCACACACTCAGGGGTCATGGGGTAACGCAAACAGCGTCTAGTGGGTCACCAAAGAGACGTTTATTTGAAGAGTTTTAGCAGAGACTCGCCGCACAAGTCATCCAAACACTGCGGGGGGACACACTCTCACTCTTGCATAAATGTCAGAGGTTCACACTGTGCTAAATCTGTCTTAGTGTTTAGTCAATTTCAAGGAGACCCTCGGAGTGGGCGGGAGAAGAGAGCACAGGCTGTCTTTCTCTACCATGCTGTCTTTCTCTTTCTCTCTCTCTCTCTCTGTCTTTCTCTCTCTCTTGCTCTTGCTGTAGTTTGAGTGGAAATTACGTAGGGAGGGGTTGTTGCACTGCTCGCTTCAGCTCTGCTACTGTTATGAGACAGACTGCCTAATGATATGGGTGAGTGAGTGAGTGAGAGTGTGTGTGATGGTCTTAGACCCAGAAGGGTGGTGCTTCTGCACTCCTCCACTGTCTGCTTGAGATCAGCTGACTGGACTCTCTCCTAGAGACCGAGCGAGAAAGAGAGAGTTGAGCCTGCATAGTTGAGTCCAGTAAGCACCAGGGAGGGAAAGCAGTAAATGGGGCAAAGGACAGAAAGCGGTTGAGGACGGAGAGAGAGAGACTGTGGGAGGGAGGGAAGGTCTGGAGGAGGGTGGAGGTCTCCGCAGCGCCCGAGTGTAAACGGATAGAAAGGGAGGGTGTGAGATGAGCCATGTCGTGTAGCGCTGCTCGAGTTTTTACTCACTGACACTGACGGTGTGTGTCGCTACAGGCGCAGTTGAAGCTGGAGAGACGTCTCGCTGGACGGAGGAGGAGATGGAGATCGCCAAAAAAGGTACTGCTTGACTTTTACTTCATCTCCCTCCCCCACCCCCTCTCCTTCTCTGGTTCTCAATTGGCTCTGTCTGATCTCGTTTTCACACATACACAAAATTTTCACCTCACTTTTGCTCTACTTGTTTGATGTCTCTGGTTTTGCATGTTTTCTCATGTTGGGGAAGTTGGTTGGGGTTGCACTTGTGAGCATCCTCTTTGTAGTGATTATTCAGATTAGGATTGTACAGAAGAAACTGAAGTAACTGTGTGACTGTTTGACATACTAGAAACTTTACAAGACGACCAATCACCCCTAGACAGAATTCACCCCCTGTGAAAGAATGATCAAGGTTTTGAGTTTATAGTTTAATGGGTTTTTAAAAAGTTTTTTTTTAGCAAATCTCTCAGAAAACATGTCCAGGTCACATGTCACCCCAAAATCAAAGGTGAAGAAAAAGGAATTATGAGTTACAGGAAACTAAAGCCTTGTTCTTGGACCATTATGTTTTTTTGTATTATGGCATTATTTCATGACAGTTCACAAAATTCTTATTACTGCAAAAAAAAAAAAAAAGCTATGGTTAATGCAATGCAAATATATATTATATGTAAATATACACTACTGTTGAAAGTTTGGATCAGTAAGAAAAATATTTTTTCAGCAAAGACATTAATTTGATGTCATAGTAAAGGCATTTATAATGTTGCAGTTAAAATGTTATGATTTTCATTTCAAATAAATGCCGTTCTTTTGAACTTTCTTTTCATCAAGAATCCTGAAGAAATATCAACTAAAAATATTGTGTATTTAAATATAATTTGTATAATAATACAAATAATAATAAGTTTTACTATTTTAAATTGTCCGTTCAAGTCTATATTTTACAGATTCAAATGTATTCAAATTTTTAAATGCATTGCGTTGTTTATCGAGCACAGAGGAGTGCACTTCCTCAATCAGCCGTTTTCATCTGCACATTTGTATGTAACCAAGATACTAACTATTCTACAGTGAATCTCTTTCATTTTGATTGCTAAAGTAAATTGATTACAGTATTTTCTTCATATTTGCAGTTCAGTAATATAGTGTATTTATTGCATTGCAGTAATGAGTTTTTAAATTTTTTTATTAGGTCTTCAAATGTGCTTCATTTTTTCAAGAGAATAGAATTTCCTGTTTCCTCCTTTAGATTTATTGGTGAAATATGACTTGGACATGATCTTGACAGCTTTCACAAGATTCTCTTGAACAAGTTGAGGTTCAGTAGTTTGCAAGTGTGTTGCCACAGTCACTGTCAGTGTCACAGCAGAAATAGACGAAGGAAAAGAAGCTTTGTCTTGTTTGCACTGAATCAAACAGTGGTATTTACCGGTTGTTGTTTTTGACTGATTGTATTAACTGTCTGGAAAGGAGGATAGTAAAAATTTATGTACTTATTTAGATTATAACCACAACTTTTGTGAAGCAGTTTTTCTGAATTTGTTGATCAACCCTGGTCGTTATGGATTTATAGACTGTTTATTATTTATATATCACTTTTGAAATTTTAAGTGACGTATATCGAAAGATGAAGGCACACTTATATTTTTGCATTAAGAACATTTACACACACACACACACACACACACACACACACACACATATATTGACAGATAAACAAATTTAAGTTTTATAAGTGTTTGTATAAATAAAAAATTAAAAGCACTCACAGAAGCATTAACACACAAACTACCCCTAGGACTCTTTAAAGCATCAGAGTTTGCAGAAGTGTTTTCAGGTCAGGCTGCGGTCATCTGAGTGCATTCCTTCTGCTTCCTCTTTCTCTGTGGTCTTTTTTTAGTCCTCTCTTTAGTGGAGGGGAAGTTCAATCCACTGAGGAACAAACATGAAGGTGTTTGTCTGTGTGTGTGTGTTTCTCCCTGTATCTTTTGCACAGACCTCTGGTGAGCCATCAATGTCACTGCACAGTTCAATTTAATTGGAGGACAGTCTTAACATGACAGATTGGGGACTAGGAGAACTGCACACTGAGTTTGAGTATTTGTTTAGAGGAACTGAGTGTTGTTTCGTATTCTGTTGAGAACCACTGTAGCTGCCAAGCAGAACTGAGAGGCGCTGCTCTGTTTGCTGAAACAACAGGTAACCATGAGCAGAAAATATACAGCTCAAGTTTTTTAGTTCATTAAATCACTCACCTTCTTGTTTGTATTATCACATCAAGCATAAGCCAGGTTTTACTCTGTCGCACAAGGCCAGTGAAAAGAGATAACAGAGGGAAGCTCTGTGTTAGGACCGTATCAAGGTAAACCGCTGCGGCTCAAGGTGGTTGATCTTGAACCATGATGTTTGCGGTGATTAATTCAGTACTCATGACACCATGAGTACTCAATCAGTACACCACACACTTTCATTATGATTTTTGGTGCTGGTTGAGGCCTCTTTTCCAGCACACAGTGGCCAACTTCTACAACATGTGATAACAGATTCAGTCAAGAACAGTGGCATTTTTATGCAGGACTTTGACAAATGACAAACACTCTTAAACGGTGTCATTTCAGGACATTTGGTTCTTAGTAGTACATCGAGGAGCTTTGACCGGTTAACGGCTAACAAGATCCATTGATGGACTTTTTAAGGTGATATATGAGATGTGGCAGGTGGAGAAGAGCTCATCTGAATTCCATCTCAACTTGTTTACTGAGCATTTGTACACTGAAAAAAATGTTTCATTCATCCAATTAAAAAAATTTTGGGTAATGATTCACATCTATATTTTTTTACTTGAGCCAATGAAAAATAAATAACTTGCCCTAAGGGTACAATTCTGGAATGAATAATTCACTTAAAGCGCAACGCGAGTCTCTGTTCTCTCTGCAATCTTATATTGCCTGTTTTTGCTTTATTTTGGCAACAAAAAATTCCAAACACAGCCACAGCGCTGTTTTGCGTCTCTGTGCAACATGATGGCGTTTCGTTCCTGAATTAATCAATCGTTCTGTTCAATTGCAATGACATTTTAACAGTGATTTGCTGCCACCTGCTGGCGGGTTTAATTTGACATTTAAAGTATCTTTTCTTTTTAAAAATAATTTTAAATATCAGTATTCAATGTTTTATGTTTTAAATAACAAAATATTATTTATGAATTTGTAACTGCAGGTTAAATGCATTCATGTCCCTCTGTGTGGGAAATTGATCCCATGCAGCTTCTGTGTTTCCTCTGCATTGCACAGATGAATTTTGATACTGATATAATTTGTTTGGTAACAGCCCAAATGTCTTTTATTCTAATTGACTGATTAAATGTAAGAATTTGACTCAAAAGATGATGCACACTTTTAGAAAAAAAACTAGTTTTACACACACACACACACACACCAGTATGTAAAGGGACATTTAAGAGGGTTTATTCTCCAAATAACTCTAATTTCATGTTGCAGAAAAATGTGTTTAGAAATTGTGTATGGTCTCTTGTTCTTGTTCAAGTTACCTTCCTGTCCACTGATTTTTGCCTTTCACAAAAGCCACAAAGCCTTCCAAGAAGACCGTAAAGGCTTATGTCATGCTTGAGCTTTAGTTAGGCTGAAACTTGAAAGTTAATTTGCATGACATAGATGCAATGTTTAGGTATTATTTTTATTTTTATTACTATTATTTTGATTTATGCCTTCGTTTTAGTTTGTACTGTTTACCTTTTTTTAAAGTAATGTGAAATTGATTTTTGTATTTTTATTTATTTATTTATATATATTTTTAAATTTATTTTATTGATATATTTGCATTTGCATTTTGAATGTAATTTGGCAATTAAATGCATTAAATGG